AAAACTAATAGTAGATTTTACGTCTATTAAAGAGCCATCATCGAAAATACAACTTACAATAAAACGTGAAAACTGTCTAATACGTGTTTTTTCTTAATTATGTCGTATGTGAATATGTCGATTAATTTCTTTGATTTTAAACGAGATATATAACATTTAATTTTAGCAATGTTGTGTATTTATTGAGTTAATTATTTTTTTCAAAAGTCGTTACAACCAGCGTGTAGGGGCGAGTTGCTGGGGGCAGGCCTACTCCTAGTACTTTTATAATTGTAACAACTACTTAGTGCGCCTTAGAGATTTAGGACCTTCACTTTAATTAGATCCTCCACGTTCAAAAAGCGTAAGCTCAAATCGAGTATCAAATTACGCAAATTCGATGTCGAATGCTGCCGCTGGGTCGCCGGCAGCCGGCAGGGTAACGAGCGGTGAGGTAATGCAATCAGTAATCAGCACAGAGAACACAACGCTATCTCTCGAAAGTACGACGTCGCTAGCTATAGACGTAATGGGTACATTATAGTGTAGTTCAAATCATTTATATTTAAATAAATATTAAATGTAGTAGTTATTTTTTCCTTTCTACTATTTGAAGTTACTTTTTATTTTATTGTACGATTTTTCGTTACGTGTGGACGATGCTTATCGAACTCTATATCTGTTGTTCACTTACTTAATTAATTCAAACAAAATTTGGCAAAATACTTTTAATTACGTTGCTTAAGTTACAGGACATGAATTGTGTCTCACTAGATCGAGAATAGACAATAGACTTATACGTCATATCAATTTTGACAGACTCAATATATCAAATTAACTTACAGACTAAACAATATCTCTCATTAATATAAATAAAGTAAGTTCTTATACGTTAATCGTCGAAAAGATTCTTACTATTACCTATATGAGCTGATATAGGTGTACAATTCTTAAAAATACAAATAATTAAAGCTCAAACACAGGGTAGCTGTTGCGAATCGGTCCTTCAGATCCATCCATAATCTGTTAATATAGATTATAGATAGTGACTGAATGAAAAACCTTACAAACGCACTAGACGTCCCAACGATATTTAAGTTTTTTCGATTTGTTGTATATCTCATCATAACATCCTGATTTCTTACGATTTTTTGCCCGAAAAGACATAAAAAAGCCATTTATACGAATCGAGAACTTACTTTTGTAGTTCGCTTCAAAATGAGTCACCGAGGCATATTATTGAAGGTACTATTGCCATAATGAGGTCTTCAATAAAACGTTAGGTACTTTAATAAACGCCATCGGTTTATGGAGCGATAGGTCATAGATGCGAAAGAGAAGCGGCTCGGAAAATATGAAATTCGCCAAATAAATTGATAGGACGGCGTCACCGCTCGGCCGTAATGCGTTCGGGCATTTTGCGAAAAATTCAATTTGCTTCCTTCGCAGTGACGTGTAACGTGGGTGCCCCGCTAAGTGTAATCATATACGGGAGAAATTATAATCTGATGACGGTTGACTTTCAAAAAAGTCTATTTTACAACGCTCTTTGTTTGATATAATATAACCCCATTTAAAATAAATGGAAACTAGACACCTCCATCGGGCTATTTGGGCATATGTATTTTAAGAGGTCAGGCTAACAATAGGCAGACCAATGAGCCTTTTTACAATAATTATATCAGTTTTACTTAGTGCAATTAATATACTAGAAGTGTAGACTAATCTATGTGTAGCACAAAGACGAAATACGGCAAAAAGGTTAATACGTACTTTCAACGAAAAGTACCGCTGACTAGGGTCTATTCTCCACGTACATACTAGTGGTCTCTGGTCTAGTGGCCGTCTTCTGAAATACGGACGCTGCTACCATTGCGCTTCTGTTCGATTGGAAGAAAAGGTGCAAGGTCACCACGTCGTACACTGTCTTTGGAAAACCGAAATTACTCTTCGAAATGCAACCGCGAAAACTATTACTGAAATCAAGCTAGGCATCGACATTATAGAAACAAACGTCTGACATACGAAATACTTGTCTATGACTACATAAACTTTAAATGCCCAGAAACAATTAACGTACAATTCGTAAAGTCGAGTTTCAACCCTTTAAGCGTTGTAGAGTCGAATGAAGTGGCGGCGCAAGTGGCGAGTGGCCGCAAAGTTCGGGCCTTGTTTTGATTCGGAACTTTTCAGACGGGATAAGAAACAGAGCGCTTTGTTCTTAACATAATAATGAGCCGAGTTTACGGTTCGAGATCGTTCGCGAGTTTTTCCTTCAAACGATAACGCGTCAATGACGCCTTGGGATTTTCCAAAGTTTACCTCGGACAGTGATAACTCTCACAGAACGCTTTTTAGAGTAGAATCCATTTTTGTTAATGAGGTTTCTATGGCTAAATACAAATACAATAGCAATACGTTTATTATATGCGGTATCAGCCTTATAAATATACCTATTTCTACCAGTCAATATGACTGTGTATAAGAAAAAATATTCACCGTCATCTCCAGTCTTTATTGACATTCTAAAAAATAGTAAAAAGGGTTTAACAATTTTAATTTTTATATATAGACATTGACAAATAATAACAATTTCTAAACATGAAGATTGAGCTACTTGCACCTTATTGTTTTGCAGTATCCTGTTTGATACTGTTTGCGTACAGAAATCGTGGCACCAGTAGTTGGCATATCAGCTTCATTCATTCTGAAGCAACTCCTTCCGATAATCGAAACAAATAGTCTTTCTGTGAGATGTTTTCTCCTGTTGTGTTTTTGTATAATATCCAGCTATTTATTTTGGCTAAATCTAAAATACTGAAAAACGCTTAAGATGGCCACCTCCTGGAACAGGTCGTGGCCTGTAACCGTATATTTTGGTGCCATTTGATCAGTGACATCGACGTCAAATTTAATTGTTATTACAAAAGCAGGTATAGGTAATTTTATATACAGCTGTATATGTTTTCATGATTGCCTTGTGGATCAATAATTGGTGTACCTAATAAGTCACCGTCGCTACCACAACACTTTCCTGCACTTTCCTGCACTTTCCTGCACTTTCCGGCAAACCAATCGGGTATCCTGGTTGCATTTTCTAAGTGAGTAGGAACTTTTATTCATTTTGAAATTTTTAGGGGCTGACAATATAATATGCAGGCTACTTGCCGATGAATTATTTTTGAACATTTTAACAAATACACATTAATGTTTCGCACCTGTGTCACTGTACGGCTAAAGACACCGTAATCACTTTAATCGGCTCGATAACGATATTGTATTGAACAAAAGACGCACGGGCACTAGGGCACATTCATAGGAACATGTACCAATCCATTTGTTAATAACATACTTATACAAATTAAAATTAAGTCCATAAATGAATTGTCTATTTCTAACTACAAAAATCATAACATCATTTTGGTAAGCACAACATTTGTTCACCAAAATGATGTTATGATTTGATATATTTAGTAGAAATTTTGAATTGAAGTTGCACGACCAGTCAAAATGGCTGATCTAGAAAATCTAGTGTCAAAATAGTAATTAAAACGTTTAAATTCAGAAAGACAGATACGCTTACAAAATACATGTTATTTGTTAAATGTTCGCGAATGTTTTTGGAAGAAAGAATGACGAAGTAGTCTTGGAACGTCTCTCCTTGATCTTGAATTTAGAAAGAATACGAAAAACCCTACAAATAAGTTATTTCTCATTATTTTTTACGAAAACCTTATATATATCGCCAAGTTGTAATAAAGAATACCTGAGAGCCAATTTGAACAATTATTCGTCCCCAAAACAGCGACTCCCGCGTGGCCAGGCCAGTCAGTCTCCTGTATTAATAAACGGTAGCTTGATGAAATCTTGTAGCCGTTATCAGCAGGCCGTGGCCCGTGGCTCGATCGAATAACGGGTTTAATTTAAACGCTGTTAATTGTCTGACACCAGCTTATCGGATTACAAAATTAATTGCCTCTATCCTTTTCCGATACTAATTGCTTCAGAAAAAACACATTTTATAAAACCGTCGTTTTTTAATTTGTCAATTCTGCGTCACTAGTCGTTGAAAAATAGCAAGTAGTTAAGTTACATAACTAATTACGTTTCGTCTGCGTATATAATATTAGAACTTGAATTTTTATTATTATTATTTTGAAGTTTTATTATGGTTTTTAACATATCACAAAGCCCTTTTTTGCTGTAATATATATAATAAGTACAAAACAGTTTGTAACGCACATCTGCCTCGGTTATAATATTTTTGTAGTGAAGTCAATCTATATGAATATTGTAAAGTTGAAAATTTTGTTTATTGCTTAAACGCGCTCATATTAGGAACTATTAGTTCGAATTGAAAAATAATGTTTGTATTTAATAGAGCACTCATCAACAAAGGCTTTGGGCCATACAAAATCACTCACACACACTAGGGAACCTAATAATCCTTGTGGGTCTCCGTTGCGTGCGTTGCGAAAATAGTTCAAGAAACCAAAATATATGTTTGAAGGAATGATTTCGCTTTACATGATCCAACAACACTACCGTGACAATATACCTACGTCTATCTTTTAAGCTTCTATGAACTGAAATTGGGTCGAATTTAATGCATTCTTAGCAATTATTTGTTAGATAATGATATAACTATATATCATAATAATATTGATCTTAGAAACAGCGAATCAAATTGCCGTATCGGCTAGTCTTAATCTATACTCTATAGTGTACTACTCGCGCCGCCTCTTGTCCTCTCACAGAACTAATTGTCTCTGAGAGCTATAAAATTAATTAATTGGTTCAGATAAGAATAACCTAACCTTTAGTCTTGTAGTTGGTGAATAATATATTCCTTCATAATGTCCTTTTTGTGACTAGATATGAATACACAAAATGATAGTTACTCTATATGTATAACTATGGGAACGGTGGGTGTTTTAACAAACCAAATTTAGGACATATTAAGAAGCGGAAATTCTATAGATTCGCGAGCGCTTTATGAGGTGTAATCGCGTCGTGGAGCGATGAGCAGTGAACTTAACTACGTGGTTCACGAAGACATAAAACCGCCCCATTGCTCACACCGAGTTGGCCATTCCTTCGACCCCTTGCACAGACCAATACGAGAACAGAGACTTCGCTTTGGTGGTATATTTCCTGCCGCTCGTGTACACTTCCGACCAAGGAGACGAATTATTCAATACATACAAGTCAAATAATATAACCTCATGCTTATGTTTTTTGTAGCTTTGAGCTCCACTTAGTGTTTATGTTATCAATCAAGTACTATCTTTAGTTTGAAATCTTTAAAAAAATGAGCTTCATCCGAAAATAATAATAATTCGTTGTAATAAATAATTATTGAAATAATTAAAACCGTACACGACGCAGTGTCCTTTGTTCGGCCTTGTCGTGTGATGATTGTTTTTGAATAGCTTTAGTTCCCTTTTTAATGTAAGACAATCACTACTCTGTGCGGACCGTAAAGGGTTTCGCAGAGTCAGCGGTTAAGCCGGGCTAAGAAAGCGTCTGCCTTCGTCTTTTATTCCGTTGCATTCACATCCGCACTCCTACATGCTAGGATTCGCATATTTTCCTTCGTCCAACGTTTGAAAGCGACATGTTTACTCTAAAAAAAGATTGCCAATTAATAACTGTCTTCATTAAATTGGCATATTGTGGCGCTGGCGGTGGCATTTCGAGCGAATCGTGAATCATGTGGAGGTTATTCATGTACCTTACTATGAATTTCACAGTGAACGTATATGAGTTGGAGTAACATTCAAATCACATTTCAGTTTATTCTTATCCGCCCGAACTTTTTATAGCTATTGATAAAGTTATTAGGGAGAGTGAGCACCCTTGATACACAAATGGTACAAATATGGAATTAATACATATAAGATATAAGGTGACAACCGGCGCGTAACTTAAATAGACTTCATAGTAAAGGAAAGACAATGTATGTGCGACAAATAATCCCAAACGTCTCGCTTGGCTTTATCCGGGTCCGATAAGGCCAACTGTAGGCTATGTGTATTTCATTTTTGAAATAATACATAACACAAAACATATTTTTTTTTAATATTATGTAGATTTACGTCAAGTCTCGAATAAACCATGTTTAACGGTTTAACGGGAACTGGTTGACCGAAGCTTCTGCAAAGAATGTGAAATGTCTCGTCGCAGTTCGAAATCGTTAAATTTATATATACGTTAGCAAACTACAACAAGTAATCGTTTAGGGTAAGAAATGGATTTAGTAAAATCTTCTGTTAATGTAATGTATGACCTGAAAATCATTACGCAATGTCCTTTAAGCAGCGCCAAGTAGAATGGTACACAGTTTTAAAAATGTACGCGCCCTATACGGGTTAAGCTGTCGTGCGCCAGACCGCTAACCATGAAAATTTTATTCCCGTGGATACTAAGCAGGTGGCCGATAAATTGTTTAAACGCAGTCCACCTCCGCCTAAGCCTTATAGTGCTGTACTAGTGTTTGCTATAAAGTCCTTTGCGTGGACTGGCCAATGACAAATTTAGTTGTCGTTACTGACAATAGATAACTATATTATGTAGTAATAAGTGCGACTTTTTTTTGATTTTATCGTACAACGTCAAATACAAGTTGTATAAGAAATGATTTTAAATGTTTCACGAATAAATAAATAATCTATTTATCTTAATACGAAATTTGTCTGAAATTATAAGCCTTCATATTTATCCTACTACTATTATAAAGGCGAAAGTTTGTAAGTATGGATGTATGGATGTATGGATGTTTGTTACTCTTTCACGTAAAAACTACTGAATGGATTTGAATGAAACTTTACCACAATATAGCTTATACATCAGAATAACATATAGGCTACAATTTTTGAGGTTTTTAATGTCGGGTCGTAAAAAAACACATTTTTTGCGCTTACATTGCAAACGCTGACTGAATCCTACAAGATAGATCAAAACAATGTACTACAGTATTGTACAACTTAAAAAGGTCTCCAAAAAAGTCCGTGATGGTATATGTTTATCTCTTAGGAATAACCCACAATAACCATTTTTTATCCTTTACTTTGTACGAGAAATAATGGCTTATTTACGAAGCGATTTTAAGCAATACAGTATTAATCCTTATCCAATTAAGTATCTTAAATACATTGTGCATTTATTAAAGATCAATATGGCTTTTTACAGCATGTAAATTAAATAAATATTTTCGAAGATATCACAGATTTAAAATGCAGAGTCATAGGAATTTCGGCGATAAATACCGGCAGCGGTGCCAGGCGAACGGGGCGTGGGGGGGAGCGGGGTAGGTGCGGTAGGGAAGAAGTGGCTCATCGCTGAGTGCGCGACCCGAAATCGGGCAGACGCGTGAGGGCAGACGTCGTTGACGGTTGTGTCCGTTTTGCGAATTTTCAAGGCACTAGCGATTTGATAAAAACGTATGGTCGCCTAATTTTAGTTATATAAGCCTAAGGTTGTTATTGCCAGGTTTCTTTTTGGTTAGGAGTTACACGTACAAAAAGATACTTCATTTAATTCAATTACTATATAGATAGGTTAATTAAATAGGCAAGGATTGCATTAAAGTACAATCATAACAATAACTACCGTACTGTATTTTTTGGAAGTATAGAAACAACACGTACTTAAGAATTATGCCGCGAAAGCGTAAGTCTAATCTTTCTGAAGCTCTGATAAAACTCGAAATATGAAAGTAGCTAGACTTAACGAGACGTTTCCACAAGCCGAACTGCGAAGGCTTAAACAAGCAGAGCGTGAGGCAGCTCAAAGAGCTGCTGAGACACCAGAGCAGTCCCAAGATAGACGTCGACAGCATGCTGAGTATCTAGCATCTCAACGGGCTGCAGAGACACCCGAACAGTCTCAATCTCGACGTCAACAGAACGCTGAATATCTGGGATCTCAACAGGCTTCTGAGACACCCGAACAGTCGCAGGATCGACAGCATTCGATAAAACTGCATTTGAGTACGATGAAACTCTTGATTACGAAAGCCACAAGCTTATAAAAATAGAAGCGATGAATAAAGAATGCAGATTTTGCGGTGCTCTTAAATGGAAAGAGGAAGCAGGAGGCATGTGTTGTTCGGGAGGAAAAGTAGTTCTTCCTTCAATAGACGAGCCTGTTGAACGTCTTAAAGAACTTTTTTTTCAAATGAAACAGATGAGTCTCGCCGTTTTTTAAAAAACATAAAAATTTTCTCACGGTCAGCTCTATGTGGCTTGCTCACGTCTTTCCAAAGCGAGGAATCTGCATGTTTATGCTGAAGGAAAAAGATCGTTAAATGTAGTTTATAGGAGCATACTGCAGTAGCGACCTATAGACCTATGATTAGGGCTCTGCAGTGCTTAGTTACCGTATTTCTAACTGATTACTAGACTAGACGGGACGAACCTGAAGTCCACGCGAACGAAGTCGCGGGCAAAAGCTAGTGTACAAATAAAAATATGAAGGCTAAATTGTTTGTATACCAATATCTATTTCCCTAATATAGCAGGAGTTAGGAAAGGAAAGGAAATGTGCAACCGGAAGTGGCAATCCAGCGGAAGTACACCTCATTTCCGGTCTGTGCTATGGAGCCTGCTCGCCTGAATACGCGTATGTTTTGGTATATGGCCTCGTGAAGCAAGCACGGTTCGTGTCCCTATTTTAATGCCTATAATATAAAAGTATTGCACAGCATCAGAAATGTGGGGGTCAGGGGGATAAAAATATTTAATTAACCTCGTTGACAGTTGATCAGCAAAACAGAAGTCATGCCCGGGCAGACCGCTATCATTGTGTTTCTTCTTCTATATTCTGATTCGAGCCCAGAACCCCTCGTGTTTAACGCAATTAAACCTATGTAGTTTTGACACATTGAGCCAGTTTTATTTAGGCTATATTTTAATAATGTTTGCCTCAAACAATGGTGATAGTTACGTGGAAAAATTATACTTAATTTATTGCACGTTTGGCCCTTTATTCGATTTCTATCTTGCAGTACGAGTATATGTACGGGCAAGGTGTACGGCATAAGCAATACGAAATTAATAAAAAAATTACTTATTCCCATTTCGCGCACATTTTAGTGGCAGTAAATGTGTCCGACGCCCGCTGAGTCGAAACATAAACACACATTATTGTCAATACGATTTATAAATAAATGCACAAGCTAGAACGAGATCGACGAACCGGGTTCCGTACTATTGCGATTTTCAAAACACAAAAAAACAATACCATCAATAAATTCATAAACGTGAAGATTGTAAATTTCGTATTTGCAGATTATTAGTCACTTTTGAAAGTTAAAAATTAATTGTTCAAAAACATGTCAATTTTTTTAAGAGATCATCGCTAAAAATAGCTAAGCGATTTAGAGGCTGCGGCAGATAGCTAGTAAATGATATACAGAAAAGTTGTATAGTCTACATACATATTGAAAAAATATTTTATTATTGACTTTAGTTACATACAAAAACCAACTTATCGTTCCCGATCTCGAGAATTCGAACTCTGAGCCTTTCACGCACTTATTATATCTTCCTAGTCATTTCCCCTGGGATTATTGAATACTTGGAAATAGAATGACGATGTGTCCTTATAATTTTAAGTTACGCGTGCGTTAAATGGTTTTCAACACTGATGTACGGAACACTAAAGAGCGAGCAACCCGTTATGGCCCGATCAAATAACACGTCGTAAATTGAAGTCGTAGGAGGAAATAAAGACCGAATTCAATATTACACGCCTTACACAGATATCAACTTTATTTTAATAAACATTGAATTTACACAAAACAAAGACTTACGCGTTCTTCTTACGTTTCTGCATGCATCGAAAATAATCGTCAAACCAAGAAGCAAACGTCTATTATATATGAAGCTGTACGGTTATGAGTGTCAATCCAATTTGATTATTTATAATGTATTTTTATGTAAGTTGAGCATACAAAGCCTTAACCTGTCTTCAGTGACCTTTGCATCATAAATTCAATTAAAGACGAATATTTTTTTAATTCTCTTTGGTAACGGAGAGAATGGAATCACATGGAATGGAAGGCTTTGATAGATTATCATGAGAGCATGTTTATATATTCGCTGTCATTCATGTCATTGGAACATACGTTAAAAGGTAGCCAAGAAAAAATACATAAAACGTAAAAAGCCAATGTTCTTATCTCAGTATTCCGCTCAGCACTTTATAGCCTGTGAACGAACATAGTATCACAAGAAAATAAAGACTATATTGTGTTGTGCGGTACACGACCAGAGCGATTCAAAATGAAACGATTTACGATAGTGACCGGCATGATAATTTCACGGCCATGTTCAGTTATTGCTAGTTCATCTCAATCACTGAAAATATAATACATAATATATCCTCGCTCCCGTTTTTTTTTTTAATATTCCGGAGAATGGCGGTCGTACTGAAAAAACACTAATATTTTATGCATTGCTTACATTTATCAGTTCTTAAGTACGCTTAATTTATGTATGTTGTAGAACGCCTTTGATTTGAGACCTGGTAGGCGAGGTATTTTTTGTTTTTTGACTTTACCATTCTTTCGCTTCAAAGTAATTAAAACTACAAAACCGGCAATCGCTTGTGTAATGGACCACAAACTAAAACCAGTCAGTCGCGAATAACTCGGGGCTTGGACATTCACATAAAATAAGAAATATAATATTTACAGCGCGCCGCATATCGAGCTGCCAACATTAGACGAGTTTATAACGCGACCACTTTACACCTCGCCGATAAAATACTGAATAATTTGCTATAAATTATTAACAAATGGCGCTAAATCACTGCTTATCGCCATCGTACATAATCTCGCTCTAATTCTACGCCATTATTTAGTAAACTCAAACAAGTTTTGTGGACATGATATTTGTACACACAAAGACTTGCTTATTACAAAAAGAATATGTTTTCCTTTTTTTTTACGGCTGTACGGACAAACGCCCGTACAATTTTTTTATTGTATTTTTATTATAATATTATTTATAGCATAGCTAGCGTAATTATAAATCTATGTCAACGTCGTGCTCACTTCAATGTTTATATTAAAAGCAAATTTACAAGGTTAGCTTAGTGAGCGTCCTATTTTCCTCTTTTCTTGTAAATTATCTTAGAACAATTATAATAGGAAATAAATCAGTTGCACTACAGCACTCATTGGGTTTGGTTACCTCGCCTCCCTCTTAAACTTATCTTAATCTTAATCATTTCCCTTCATCATTTACCTTATAACTATCTATCTACATTCACGTATACTTTTCTTAAATGTTATACGCATCATTCTCTGGTACCCGAAACTCGGGAGTATACGCTAAACTGTTCCACACTACAACAGCATTGATATTATTATTAAAAACTAAATCTAAAACCGAACAGGCAATAACTATATTAAAACGTCACATTTTCACTCACAAAGGCGGATGACTTAAAAAAACAAGGCTTTTCATCTCGCTAAGAGCGAACCAGAAAATCGAACAGCGCATTCCGAAACAATCAAACATTCGGGAACAAGCGCGAGAAAGGAAGCCTCCATTTTCGGACAAAAAACGTCTAGAATGAATACTTCGTTTTCCATTAGTCGTGAGGACTGTTCGTGGAGTCTCATCACAATTTATTGCCGAATCAAGAGCCCTTAAGTCCTTCCTTGATTTGTTGACGTTCCTCCGCTTGACCCTGTCGCGGGTCAACTGTTCCCGATGTCCTTGTTAATTTACTTCCTTAAGGCTCTCCCGCTCCGTTTATCCCCGTCTTTATTCCAGTTTTATGTTTATTTACTTTTAGATTCTCCTACTATTGAATAATAGATAAATAAATATGATATAGTGGCCTTTTCAACAGAGTGCACCGAGTACTTAATATGAACTTAGGTTTCTTTCATTATACTAATTAAATAAAAATGTACCACTGAGATGCAAAATTTCACTCATTTTGATTTTTGGGTTTCGGAACGTCTTGAACAAATACGTTATCAACTGAACGGCGTTTTAAAAATCTTATTTTTAAGATCCAGAAAAAATCTGTCACCATTGACATAAGATAAGAGACACATTTTTTCTGACGTTGGCTAGAATCGATAGTGAAGTATGATTTTTTGTTTGTTTCTTAGAAAGGCGGATGTCTGGAGATGAGCAGATAACAGGAATGGCGAGACATGTGGATTTGTGTCGTGATATTTCACTTGACAATCTGACTCAAGTGCCAGCGTCTGAATTGGAATGTCTTCTATGTAAGTCATTATTAATTAATCCCTATCTTGTAAACTTTACTTGAGAAAAAAATAATAATAATAGCGAAACAGTTAAATAATAAGTAAATAGCTTAATATCTTTTATATAAAGGTAAGAGAGACAGAAATACATCTCTCGTAATATCACCGCATAACTCCAAGGATGTATTTTGTAATATATTAAGGAACGTAATACTCGGCACAAAGCAGAGGTACGCAGCTTTAGAGGAATCTGTCAATGAGTGCACTCTAGGTTAGCAGCGAGTGGTGATAGACGCGACGCCGGTAGCGAGTCAGCCCGACATGGTGGCTTACGCAGGTAGACTCACTTATCAGTTCTATCGAGAGCTAGGGCTGAGCATTCTATCGCTACGATAGATTTTAATATATCAACTTTTTTCGGCATATCATAAATTGATGATTACTAAATTGCGTTCTTAAATATGCTAGGCCCTTATTTCATTTTGCAGATCTATAAGAACCTTAACTTGTAGGCGAATGATATCGAATAAAGTGATCTATTGTTAATACCGGACAAATCGTTTCAACATGAAACTGTTTGTAAACCAGCAGATAGTGAATTATGAGAAAATATCGAGAACAGTCCAAACAACCCTATTCACGAGACACTTATCGATATCACGAGAGTTTATCAATTTTTTATTGGAAAGGACCGAACGTCTTATTTGCTCGAGAGTCGTGGGTCGTGTTTGGGGACATTAACAAATATTATCTTAACGATTCACGTTTTTACCGCTAATTGATGATGCTACGTTGAAACGTTACTTTTTACTGCTCTTGCGTCCTTCGTGTGTCGATTTTACGAGTAATTTGTTTGTTTCTAAATTTTGTGTTTTTAATATAGTTTTAGTATTTTGAGTTTTTTGGATACTATTGATAAGACATTAAAAAAGTAATACTTGATTACGAAAGCAATAATCCTTAATCAGCACAATGAAAGCACCGTTAACAATAAGACAAAGGTGTCCTCTGCCCTGCACTGAGCAATATTGTTTACTCATCTAAGTATAGAGCGCTTTTGAACGCGGACCACCCACGTGTCGCGAAGATAATTCGAGATGCACTAAACGGTTAGCTTATTGCATCGCTACGGACACTGTACACCAGGGTTCGATGAGATATTTCCGCGAGTTGCACAACAAGAAAATGTCTATGTATTTAAGCCTAGTCTCGAAAAGTACTGTTGGCAGCTTTTCGCTGTTGGGCTGTAAAGAACAGCGACGTGTAAATTATAACGTGATTTCATATTTTGGGAGTCAATAAATATATCTAAAAAAAAGAGTTATCCATAATGTAACTCAATTGTTTAAAGGTACAGCAAATCAATATGACTTTTTGAAGGAAACGTCCATTTTCAATATTTTTATTAATGTTTTTTTACTACTTCATATATTCATAGGGCATTAAATTTCACAGTCACCCTAGCTCGGGTGAGACTGCGCGTACTCATGTGACGACAGCGAAACGCGTGCGTTGATCGATTTATCTGACTGCACGAAAACGAAGCGTTTAAATTTACACTCTATTTACAGGCAACTTAAGCGCATACTCGATGTTTGAAAGGTTGAACGTACTGTTAGCCGTTTTCAATGTTAAACTTCCGCTGTTAAATTTGTACCTGAAACCACTGCAGTTCGGTGACCAACCGATTTGTGGGTAATTTTAGCACCTGCATGACTTTGTTTACTCATTACGAATATTGCGACAATTTTCTACGAGTATTGAAGAAACGATAATTCAAACATATTAAATTTCATTAATCGGTATGACATTAAATTTGTATTTAAGTAATTTGTTTGTTTGAAATGATTAAAGTTTTGCTAAAGTTTGTACCGTTTGAAGACAAAATTAAGCTGCATAAATAAAGTACTCACCGAATTTTTTTTACAGCCTCGTAATCTGTGGACAAAAATATGTAAATTAATATGGGTGTCTGTGACTACTATGAAGACACAGGCTCTGGTCTGCTATAAACCCCTTCGGCGTAACTTTTAGTTTACTATTGGATAGTTTCGGTGGGTAGCTCATAGTGCTAATAGATTGAACGAACTAAGATGCCAACGGCCAGGACAAAGCAATCGTTCAGATAATCGTATTCGACTGAGCCACAATTCCGTGACTCATTCCATTAATCAAAGTGCTGCTTTATAAATGAGTGTTGTCATGTTTCTACTCTTTGTCGTTGACGTTCTGTTGGCCTTTCCGTTGTTCCGACTCTTTGTATGTATTGTTTGTAGTTTACATTACACATTCAAATTAAACACTTTTAACAGTTTAAAACTACCTGTCACCGCGTCGACCCTAAAGCATCCGAACGTCGGGTTAAAAATGACTTAATAAGTTTCGCGTTTCAAATCGTTTAAAATATTTTATTTAAACTTTTATATTATCAGTAGAACCATTAACTTAAAAATATTACATGTCTAACTACTTTAATCTTTTAAAATGCCGTCACATTATAGTAAATGTAACTCTGCACTGGTCTTGAAACATATAATGAGAAAAGAAATCTCAACTTTTGTTTGTTGACAATACTTGAATGTGATCAAAGTGAAACCTCGGAGAAGGCATATGTCCGTGTCCGTTTCAGTGATGAATTTTATTGAGAGGTTCTTAGCTATCTGTGTCTACCTCAAACGAAATAGAATTTCTTATCCAGAAATCTAAATCTTAGAAAGTCGAATCACCTTTTTGATTTGAATAACATATTGTTAAGGCAGTCGACCGGCGCCGGTTACCATCACTTATATATAAGACTAACAAACCACAGTGGAATAGCGTGATGAGTTCGAGATCATTAAACCTCTTTCGTGAAAATAAAATACTTTCATTATGACAGGATATATAAATAGATTGGAAAGATATGTAATAAATAAACAACACCATTCTTGATATTAAAGAGACGTTTTACACATTATACATCTCTTGTAGACCACAATGAAAGCGGCATCACTAATGTCTAATACAATTGTAGCGAGTGCTGTTCATATAGCGGAGGGCGCGAGGCGCTAGTGATGTGCCGGTCTCGACTCTTTACTTTAAAACGCGATTTATATTATGATACTGGGAACAGCGGACCCTGACGTGGTTACTGGTTGGGTTTAGTTGATCATCGATAGAATAAATATCCTGCTTGTAAGGTTTCTGAACGCGTAGTTCTACGCTACTCTCCTAAATTTGCTCCTCCTGTAACAATTTCAAAACATTTTCTGAATTTAATCATTGAAAGTGAATTTGTACCATTCTAAAATAATTAAACCCCTGATATAATTTAGTGTACTGAAACAATTTACGTAATTACCGCGCGAGTAATAGACCCAATTATGCGCCCCAAAGATGTTATCAGAGCTGGACACCACAAATCTATCGATAATAAACATCGATAAGGTGCAGCATTACGTCGCCCCTCCAGTGCTTGTCATTAAGGGTGATCCATCAAAACGTCCGCTAGGATTTAGGGTGTTCGACGCTTGCGCGGTAGCCTCAGGGGTTGTAGCGGGGTTAGGGTGATCGCACACTGAGCTAAAAAGGAACAAGGTGGAAAGATGGCCAACATTGCCAATACGAAGCGCACACTTTTATTTTAGAACACTTTAATTTACACTGTAATTTTTGTGTACCAGAAATATTTAAAAAATACGAATCAAATAGTATTATTTATAGAAGATTTACTAATGAATATATAGACAAGGATCTCGTAACAGCTTGATCAATATCAGTTCCGAATCACGCGTTCGCCAGCGAATTGGCGCAGTCAGCGTGTCCGTCAGAGTAAGAGAGTCAGAGATGGGCACCCACCCTTAGGACTGAAGTGCGAAGGGAGGGCTGCAAACAAAATTAGATATTCGTGCGGTGTCCCCAAAGCGCTTCGAGTGCACACTGATTGATTGCTTTCGCAAAGATTTACATTTTTCCACATCCTGAGACGCTCGTCTGTGCCCCCGAGTCACTCACCTCCGCACTATTGATTTCAATTACCAGAAAATTGCATTTGCTGAGGACCATCTACTTTTTAACCTGTCTATGATTCGTAAATAGTCATTTTATAAAGCACAACGAATATAAGCCAACGCATAGACGCCGCGTGAAATATGGCAAAGCGAAACAGCGGGTCTTAGTTGGAAGTAGGCACGGCTTTTGAAAAGGAAACAAAGAGTCGCGAACGAAATGCTTAACCATTGAAATATTGGAAGCCATTTTCAATTTGCACAAACAATGCATCGCGACAATGTCGATAGGCGACCATCATTAGCGACTTATTAGGCATTGTCTGCGCTCTCTTTTCCGACTGCGGAAGGTGTAGGCAAGGTTCGGTTCTTACTTTCTTCTGGGGATACAAATTAGACAATGTTTGGTGATATATTGAAAGGAACGCAACTTGACAAAGAACTAGATTGTTTTTTTGACCTACCTATCTTTTGAGGGAAAAAGTTCTGAGGCTGTTGCTTATTTGGAGCTATTATTGTCGATAAAGAGATGTCTACAGAACTAGAAATTTTGAAATACTACATAATGAAAGTCGGCATAAAACTTAGAGTAAAAACGAATTATAAGTAAAGTGAATTATCTATTTATCCCATAATAGAGTATGTCGGCCGTAAAAACCAGCTTATTTAAATTTAACGTAAAATAGTATGGACATTAGCATTCGGACGGTCGCTCTGCAGTAGGTAGGAGCGAATAAATTCCCGTTTGAATAATAAATGAGGATCGAGCATGCTTTCACCAATAAAATAACACGGAGCCAGCATATGCGTGCACGTATTTATGGCCCCTCTAACCCAGTTCGTCGAGTGCTTATTGCTCCACTGTCCGCGTTCAATACGTTTGCCGTATCGTTCATACTTGTAGTTTGTATTGACAAAGGGAGACAGTCCCAGAATTAGAGCCGTTAGCCCTTAGACGCTAGAATGAACAGAAAACCTGAATAGAAGGTAAAATTTAATTTTTAAAATTAACATTTGGAATGAACACAAGTTAGTTTCGCCCCACATTAAAGTGCATATAATTGAACAGCACGAAGAAGCCTTCCGGACGAGAAAATAACGATAGTAAGTAATTGCACGCATCATTATCCCCGCAATCAGAGACATTCGTCATTATATTATCATTTTAACGAATATAATTGTCGCACGCGGCTCCACACGATTTTAATTACAACCCCGTGCTTGATTTACAAACCTATGAAACGTTATTTCTTTATAGAAAAATGTGATCTAACGCCCTGAGCATAACTTTCAGTTTAGCTTGTGGAACGGTCTTTGAAATTGCAACTTTATTTAGTGCGTAATGTTTTGTGTAATACAATGATATACGTTTTACACAAATAGAGCTCCACTATTCAGCTTTATATCTAGTCTCGTGAAGGAAGAACTCAAAACTTGTAGAAATTACAAATTAAGGCGTTTTTCCAGAGTTGTCGAAAGGATAGACCTACGAGTGCCATGTCAAAGATATTTAAAAATAGGACCATTCAAGCAAGCAACGGAGTATAAATAGATAGATATAAAGCTGTAGCTGTAGCTGCTGTAGCTGTAGCTGTAGTTTGTTTGTCTGTTTGAGCGCGCTAATCTCAGGAACTACGGGTTCGAATTGAAAAAATCTTTATGTGTTGGTGAGCATTTATCAAGGAAGTATAATGAAAAAGCTCTAACCTGGCTATAAAATACCACGCTGTGTCTAATAGAAGCGAAGAAACAGCGGGAATTGTGGGAAAAACAGGGAAAATTATTAATTTTGTGAGTCTCCATTGCGTACACTGCGAAAACGGTTCAAGATACCCAAAAAGTATGTATCAAAGAATGATTTCTCTTTTAATAATCTAAAAAATGTCCCCGAAACTATAGGTCTATCTTTTAATTAACTTGTAAGAACGACGGGACGACGTCGTGGATAACAACATAAATTAATAGAAATTTTTTATGTCCAGAATTACTATTCTACGCGGACGAAGCCGCTGACCCAGCTAGTACTTGTATAAAAAATATATAAAAAATTGAATTCTAATCGATACCCACGTGTAGTTTATATACTTAGCTACTATGTATATTTTAAAATTACTTGTAAAATAATTACCTTTAAAATTAGACCTCAAACCAAAGTAAATTGAATGCAATGAGTTTGTTTTTAAAAATACTTGTACACATAATGCGATATTCTTCGCCATAATGAATCAACCACTTTAAGTCTTTAAACAGCATGAAATATGCTTATATGCAAAAATAAAAGTAATTGCAATGCAAATAAATAAATGTACCTTGCGTAAGTTTATCAATAAACGAACATTTTCAACCAAATACGATTTGTATTTGTAGAGCGATAAGAGTGACAATCGTTCGACAGGTACACGCCGAATGAGACGTGCTTTTCGGGCGTCTGTACATAAGCCGGCTTCAGGGAAAATGTATTTCACGGTTCGAATCGAACATATTGAGGGATCAAGATATTTGTTATGTCGAAGAGGATTCTTTACGCTGTACCGACGCTTATACAACTTGTTTCGCTTTCATATTATATAAAAGAAAGGGCAGAGAAATGAAACGTTTTAACTGACAATTCATAATTTAATAATTAAGTTCTAATCACTAATTTGAAACCGTTTAAAGTGTTTTATTAATGTACAATCTATTCTTAATTTCAAATATATATAACGCTGGAGAGTTTGTTTGTTTGAACACGCTAATCTCGGGAACTACTAGTTCGAATTGAAAAAGTCTAGTAGTCTTTGCATTGGTTAGAACATTTATCGAGGAAGGTTACAGGCTATAAAAAATCGCGCTGTAACTAGAAGGAGCGAAGAAACAGCGGGAAATGTGAACACGGGAAAAACGGTGTGAAAACGCACAAGATACCCAAAAATATGTATGAAAGAATGATTCCTGTTTAAATGATCTAAAAAAGTCCACGACGCGATAGACAATTAGAAAATTGTCTATCTTTTAAGATCGACTTACACGAACGACGGGACGCGAGTGAAGTCGCAGGGAAAAGCTTAAATTTATAGAGTTGAACAGGAAGTTTGCAAAAACAAACTCGATGCCCAAAATAATAACTATTCTACGCGGACTAAGTCGCCGACTACGAAACGACATAAGGATAATAAACTCTATATGCCTTATCAATAGCTTTAAAAATAAATATTATTAAAATACTTATCGAACAGAAGATGACTGTTATTACATTAACAAAATTACAAAAATGCAAACTTGACATAATATTAACAAAAATGAAGCCCTTCGTGCCGTGTTTGTCTAAATAGTGTCTAAACAGTCACAGAACTACGCGCTGTCAAGAGATGTTTTGAATTAACTCAAAAGGAAAAGCTAAAGCTTCATACAAGTCGGTTGCTATTTTAAAGCTCATTAAACATATCTAGATAAAATGCAACTTCTGCTGTTTCGGCGAGAATACATTCTAAAGCATGTTAAGTATTTATTCCATGATTTTGTCAAACGGAAACATTATTTATGACAAAAGAGATCGTTTTGGGAAATGTACAAGATGGAGAGGCTTACATCGGTATACATTTCTAGATTAAATGAGAAAATGGCACGAGGAAGGAGAAATCTTGAGGCTCGTTTAAAATATAATCCGTCATCGTGAGCGTGTCCTTTATCGCGGCACGCAGTCGCCCGGAATACCCGCTCTCATTTTTTAAGCCTCAAAAAGGACTAAATTATTCAGTCTTTACAAGAAAGTGGGTAAAGAGACTTCATGTATTTCGAGAGATAAACGATTATGTGAGCTGCTGAATTATGAACGTGCATTTCTACGAAGGCTCCTTCCTTATTAAATAATTCGCGACTCGCTGCCACCGGAAACGACGACATGTACTTTGATTTTGTGAACAAAGTCAACCGCTCTATCGGCCGCTATTGTCGGTTATTCTTTTGGTAGGGTGAAAGGTAAATAGCGTATACAGCCTGGCCGCAGATATCGTGTTTGCGTTTGCGGCGTCACTTGAAACGCGTGTCCTTTTAATAAAATATGAAATGTGCACGTTTCTTGTAAAAAGGCAGGACTCCTTTGAAAAAGAATAAGTTGCGGGCGAAGGAAAGCATCAAAACTTTAATAGCTCATTACGGGAGGCTTAATTAAAGAGCGGTTTAGTTCCGCCCTTGTTCAATGTACGCCTTGCTTTTACTCTCGTATGTAAAGCTTTATAACATAAACACATATTCATTTTACTTTAGTTTTTGTGCGCTTTGAGCGATCTTTGTGTCGTGTTTCTCTTGCTGTTTTGGGACACTCGAAACGAACAATATTCCTTAATTAATTATTTCATTTATTGCGGTGACAAGACAAAACGATAAAAATAGTTTATGATTGTGTATTCATTGCTAATGTCGAACTGAGAGCCTCGTCGTAGAAATACGTAGATTTGTTTTAGAGAAATATTTCAAAATAAGGTTGTATTATATTTTAACTCTTCAGTCCGAATTGTACAATTGTAAACCGATGTACTTCGGTTGAAATATTCGTGTACTGGCGGCATTCCAGCGCCGAAGCCTTCCATTCCCCATTGTGCTACGACGCAGCGCTACGATCTATTGCTACGCTCAGAAATATCTACGAGGCTCTACGACCCTACGAGTGTATCGGGTGACAGCCGTAGTTATTTTCCTTTTCTGCTATTTTATTTTTAGTGGGAAAAGCCCCTCAGTAGAAAGAGGACACAAAAATACGTGGGGCATGAGCCAAATATTTGGTGAATCATTTGGACCGTAGTCGTTTCACTTATTATATTTTTTATTTTATACCCGATATTAATGTTAGAATAAGCATTTAATAGCGGCGTGATAAAC